AGAGAGAGAGAGAGAGAGAGAGAGAGAGAGAGAGGGAGGGAGAGAGAGAGGGAGAGAGAAAGAGAGGGAGAGAAAGAGAGAGAGAGAAAGAGGGAGAGAGAGAAAGAGGGAGAGAGAGAAAGAGAGAGAGAGAGGGAGAGAGAGAGGGAGGGAGAGAGACGGAGAGGGAGAGGGAGAGAGAGAGAGAGATGGGGCAGGGAGGGCGAGGCCTACCTTTGAAGCCTTCCTCTGGAATGCAGACTGGAAAAGAAGACAAAGGCAGTCAGAGAAGCCTCCAGAGCCCACCGCGGTCTACCTTGCTGGGAGGAGAATTGATGGCCGCAGCCGCCGTCCCCCCCCGAGCGCTTGGCAACAGACCAAAGTGACGGAAAGGCGGGTGGTGGGGAAACCAGGAACGCTGGAGGAGCTTACCTTGCATAACGTCATCTATTGCCGCGTAGTCCACAATGGGCTCATCGGCCTGTTTTGGGGGAGAGGAAGGAAAACTGGGCGTTAGATGGGGGCAAAAGTTGCCCCCTCCCGCACAGACACACACACACACCCCACCGGAAGAAGGACAGGCAGCCCGCAGGATCACCAGCTGACCGTCCCAAGCCGAACCGGAGCGGTAGCCGAGGGCAAAAATTTGGGGCGCTCACAGCCAGAGCCACCGAAAGGCGGAGGGCCACACCTCGCTCACCTTCAGCAAGACCACGGACTCAGGCGTGACCCCCAGGCTGCCCAGCGTGGCCACGTCGTCGGACAGCACCGTCCCGTCGATGGAGAGGTTCTGGTCGAAGGGAGCCACGGAGAAAGCATGCATGATCTGTGCCGGAAACACACGGCGGGACACTGAACAGGGGAGCTTCTCTGAGTAAGGGAGGGCCACCCCCTTTGCATTCTCCGAGGTCTCCTGAACCAGGGGTCCCTAACCCCCCGGTCCATGGGCTGCAGCATGCCAACAACCGGTCCGCACAAACAAGCGAAGCCCCGTCCGTGGGATGCAGGCAGCACACAAAACCACGCACCCCCTCCGGTCCACGGAAAAACCTCTCTCCACGGAACCGGTCCCTGGTGCCCCAAAGGTTGAGGGCCTATGTCCTGAACGGAAGATGGAAGGCCAGGGAGAAAAACAGCCCTCCACAGCTGCCAGGCTGCTTCTGCGCTGAGCATGGGGGCCCTCTGTGCACGGGCAGGAGTGGGGGGGGGGCTCACCTGGATCTTCAGATCCTTTAGGGTCTGGTTAGCGGAGACGAGGAGGGCCTTCTCCCCCCGGATCCTCCTGTGCCGGGTGCTGCGCCGGATGCCCTGCTTCTGGCAGACCACGGAGTTGGGGTGGGAGACCTTCTGCCGCTTGGCGTTGCTGTTCGCCTGGGGGGGCAGAAGAGATTCCAGCCAGGGGGGAAACTGAGGCCCACCACCTCTTACCCCACATGCCGGGCCCTTCGCTTTACATTCAGGCCCTGCCAGGGGTCCCTCCCCAAAGCCACCTTCTGGATTTTCCCCAAACACCAGGCTGCCTCCCTCGCCATGTTTCCACAAGTCTTCCCGCTCGCCCAGACTTATCACCAAGACCGGAATGTACCTGGTTGAAATCCGGATCGTGCTCCCCCCCTTCCACCTTGGCCTCCTCCCGCTCTTCTTCGGCCTCCGAACTGCTCACGTTCAGCTCCGGAGCAGCCTCCTTCATGACCTGGAAGGGGGAGAGGGGGGAGGACAGAGACGAGAGAGAGAGAGTGGAGCTGCTCTTAGCCTCCTTTGGGAATTGAATCTTCACACCGAGTGGGACGGAGCTGAAGTCACTAGTAACACACACACACACATCCCCGGGAGAGACTCAAACCCCAGGTCTGGGCCCAAGAAGTAAAGATGCACCCACCGAGGGCTGTGCAAAACAGAGACGTCAAGGTTGTCTAGAAAGTACATGGTGGGAAAAGAGCCAGGAGGGTCCGTGGCCCCCCCTAAGCTGAAAACCCTTGGTTTAAACCAGCCTTGCACTTTTTTTATCAAAATATATAGCCCTGCAAAACACACACACACACACACACACACACACACACACACACACACACACACACTTGGGGGTTAATTTCTACATAGACCACATACACACACACACACACACACTTGGGGGTTAATTTCTACATAGACCACATCTTTTTAATTTGGTTTTAAATTGGGTATTTATTGTTGTATCTGTTTTATAAGGCTGTCAGCCGCCCTGAGTCCGTAAGGAGAAGGGCGGGATAAAAATTGAATAAATAAAAATAAAATAAAAATAAGACGTGTGTTTCATCTTCTTGATGGCCATAAATCTCAAGAGCTGGTTCCTCTAAGCTCAGAGAGAGGGAGGGAGGGAGGGAGGGAGGGAGAAAGAGGAGGAGAGG